CTTTATGTATATGCCAGATTATTCTAATGGTGCTGGTGTTTTCATAAATTTTACTATAAACTACTCTAGATTTAAAAATATTCTTGCTGGGCATGGTGGCGCATGCTTGTAATCCAGGAGTATGGGGATTATAGGCATGTCCACACCTGGTTCTCATGAAACTCTTAACAGTTAGTATCTTCAGTACTGTTATTCATAAGAAAAAACTCCTTAGGAAAAAAAACACAGAAAAGGACAAATAAAATCTTGCTAATCCTAAAGGCTGACATGATGACTGCAAGTAGCAATTTTAGCTTATATTTAAAAACAACACTTAAATAACAGTTTCCACTAGAACCCACTAAAACTGCATCTGTCATTCAATTTGTTCCAATGATTGTTATGAGCCTACCAAATGAAAGAATGAGAAAATACTTAAATCCTATCACTAAGCAAGTAAATCTCTTCCATTTGGCTGATTCAGCTTTGGAAATGTGAGAATACATGTTATGTAACACATATGTTTAAGGCTCAGGTGACAGAAAGAACTCATTTTACCCAGCAAAGGACTGTGGACTGAAACGCAAACGGCATTTCATCTGAAGGAACTAAAACCATCCAATGGCTGCACTTTGAAAAAGCAATAAATAATGACACAGAAAACAAAAATCACAAAATCCCTTCCTTAAAATATGCACTTTTTTCTCATAAAAGCAGAAAGGGCAAAGGCAAAAGTCAAACCAAAGTATTTTTAACAGGATGACACGGCTCTATGTTTTCAAAAGGCACCAGAAAATAAAGCTCATCTTGATAGGTAAATTAGGTCATTTTATCTTTTCACAATAATTTCTTCATTCTCATGCCACAAGTAAGATCTATCTGACTACTAGAAAAAGTGGTTAAGAGTCCTATGATCAATGCCGAAGGCATGACTGACTAAATGGATATTTCAGAGTTTTTATGCCTTTCCTCCTAGAGGAGCATATTCTGTGAGACTAGCACCCATGTGGGTACTTGAAAAAGAGCACTGATGGTGAAATAACAGTCTGCTTTTTTTTTTTTTTTTGATATGTGAATGTTTTAGAATCACCTATCTTAACACCTATTGCTGCTTCATTTAGTATCGGACCAGTAGCCTCATCCTTGGTGTCTCCTATGGCTCTGTAAGTAATGTATAAGTCACTGCATGGGAAGAAGTGATATAAGTACAAGTAACATCATTAGGTACAAGATTTGCCAACATTAATAACACCCATAAAACTGTAATGAATTTAAAAGGCACCTTAGTTTGGAGCTACACAATAGTTGTGTTATAAACTATGTTGAAAATAAACAATGCATAGCTTTCTACAACTGTAATCTATAAACTGCAGTGTTTGTTAATACAAAAGGGGCACCAAGAAGGATAAGCATCTAAATGCAAGTCACTTGAGCGTGCTTTAACAGAGGCTATACTAAAAACTGTCACCCACAAAAGTGCAAAATAAAAGATTAATGCAGGTCAAAATTAGAGTTCTTGCAACATTGGCCAAAAGCAGCAAACAGCTGAACAAGACCATGCATGCACTGTCACTAGCATAAAGTTGTACTGTACTTATGACAGATTTTGAGTAAATGACATATAATAGAGATCAATTACTTGTATAATTTTTTTAAAAAGGAAATGTTTTACAAAAGATATATAGCATAAAATCACATTACACTGACATTTAGCTATATTAAATGTAAATTTTATGATGCCATCTAGAAAACTATCACTTTGCTTTTACTGAACACTACTTGTTAGAGCAGTGCATAGTGTTCCTTCAAAAAAAAATTTTTTAATAGTTTAATCCCCTACCATATGCTTTTGAAAAACAATGTGTTACGCATTTTTAAAGTTGGTGGGACAAAGAATTTGTTAGAAGTACAGCTTCTGAAGATCAAGAAAGGAGGACTTACTTTTCACTATACATGCCCTCTGAACACTACAATTTTTCACCATGTGATGTATTACTTGAAAAAAAAATTAACTAATTGAAAAAAGAACTACTGGGAAAATAAACAAAAGCATGTTCCAGTTTAAGATCAATGCCAAACTTCTCAATGGGGGCGTAATACTCTGCATCTTTCAAAACACTTTTGAGTTAATCACATGAACATGAATACAAACAAATGTAGATTCATCACAAAATATAAATGTGTTGGTCACAATTACATAGAAAAAAATAAGCTGTAATATCTGTTTTTCCATATTAGCCCACAGTATCTTACTGGAAGTTTTTCTAAAATTAAAACAAGTCCACTAATATAATTCAAAAGAACACTTCTGCATTATGAAACAGAAGATATGGGGTTCAGAGGAGAGCCCATCTGAGTAAGGACTTTGTCCAGCCACTGAAGAGGCCCATGAAGATGAATCTCAATCCAACACGGGGTGCTGGTGACATCCTGCCGGTGGTACTCTGCTCCCCAGCCCTGTGAAAATAAACAGGTATCACAGCAAATTCCCCTTCAAACTGTCAACCACTCTAAACCAATTTTAGCAATAAAAGATAGTATGACATTAAAGCTTTTTCTTAATGTATTTAAATAGAATATCGTAAGTGAACATAAACAATACCACAAAACCAATCTTAGCACTCACCATAGATTTAAAAAAGACAACACCTACATTATTAAAAAATATATGGATTTTTAAATAACATATAATCCTTCTTAAAAAAATCCATGGGGCCAGATAGGTTTCAAGTTTTTTTAAATTTTAAAAAGGTCATACAGTATTTCATAATTAAAACTTTAATATTTCTGCCATGAAATTCATTCTTACAAGGATAAATACAACCCACAAACAGACTCCTGTAACTTCACATCAGACTTTGTTACCAAAAGTTTTGGTTTTGACGGTTTAAAAAATATATATTAAATGAGACACTGTAGACATTGACCAATGTGTGCATGAGTAATTTAATGTAATCATACAGCCTTTATCCTTAAAGGTAAGAAAGTAATGAGGTGCAATGAGCTGCCACACTAGTTTAAAATTCTACATAAAAATTAAAATAGAAAGTTTTCACTTTTATTATCCTGAATTTATCCAGTTCTCTATCATACTGCTTATAGTAGTCCTAGCCCAAGAAAACAAGGAGAACAAGAAGGGGAGAAGACTGGGGAAGATGAAAGAGTAGAGATTAAAATAAATACAGGGAGGATATACTTTTAAGGCAACTGATAAAAGGGTACGTAACAATAGGCAACAAAGCAGCAAGGAAATACTGAGCCTTAATGCCAAAAAGAAAAAAAAAACCCTACAAGCATGTGATAGTTTTTCTTCCTGGACTAAATCTTAAATCCTTAAGGAGTCTGTGGACACGGTTTAGAAGATGGATACATGGATGGATGGATGGATGGATAGATAGATGGATGGATAGATAGGTATCACTAAAATTCTTTCCAAATTTTGTTCATGAATCATAATCTTTGGAATGGTCAATAAAATTAGACTAACAGCATAAATTTGATAAACCTGAACTTTGCAAGATGCTCAAAATAAAGCTTAAATATAAATAAAATAATTTTAGGATCCCAATTCTATTAAGTCACTCTAATATAATCTAATAATCAAAGCTGTGGAAGCTAAGAGACACAAAAAGCAATTTAAGTATTAATTATTTTCTAGTAATTTAACCTTTTAACCAGAATTCTTTGTTAACTTAACCCCTATGCAGTAGAAGTATCAAAATCACAATCAATCGTTCATTTTATAACGTATGGATTACAAAATGAAATCTTAGACCTATTGTGGATAAAATTAAAACCTAGTAAATCAGGTCAAAAGTAATGATCATGTCTGAATTTAACACAATTTTTTATTATAACCTACAGACATAATACTTCCACTGACTTGAATTACATTACACATCACAGCCCACTCACCTTGACAAAACTCATTCGGATGGTGCACATTTTGGTGAGCTCATATACTGCCTCAAACCCATGGTTGACAGACTGAGCTAGAAGCTGAGCAAACTCTTGATTGTTAAAAATTTTGAGGCTGCAGCTGCTGGGAATCTTACAGACGGTGGTGGGATGAAAGCCATGGTGAAAATTGCAGTTCCTACTCTGTACAAATATGCTGCTGTCACTGAGACACTCCGCATACACCTCCCCGCCAACATAGTACAGATGAACACCTTAAAAAGATGGGCAGCAGGACAGTCAGAATGATAATGACACCCAAGAGGTTGTATGATGCAGCCAACATTCCCAGAAATCCACAGCCAACTCCCGAAAGTCTTTAGATAGAAGCTACCACTAGATGGCCTGCTGTCACTAAAGATATTCAAGAGATTGTCTGCCTCAATCTAAACTAAGAGATAAACCTGAAGTTAACAGGTTAGTATGTTATCCACTTGGGTTTGTTCTTCTTTAGCCATCATTTTATCATCTCTATGAAAAAGGTAACTAAAAAAGTTCCCTAAAACTGCCTTTTCGTGCGTCCTTTCAAAGGAATGCTTGATACTATCAACTATTATGAACAGTCATATGGCCGTTTTGCACTATTCTTTCTAACAAACAAAAATAGCGGTTCAAAAAAAAGAAGGTAAAAACAAAAGCAAACAAACAACCCTCCCCAAAGCATATGTGTAATTTCAGGTCACAGGAAGAGCTGTTAAATAACAGATTTACTTTACTTTAGAAAGTTTTGATATTAAAAAAAAAATACATGAAAACAGTTTCAATACTAAAATTCAAATTACAGCCAGGCATGGTGGCATACACCTGTAATCCCAGCACTTGGGAGGCTGAGGTAGGAGGATCACCTTGAGTTTGAGGCCAGCTTGGGCTACATAGCAAGTTCAAGGCTGGTCTCAACTACATGATGAGATCCTGTCTCAAAAACAAAAACCAAAACCTCAAATTATGTAACTAACGCTGGAGTCACCTAGTATTTTCCCAACATATCCTTCCACCACCTCAAATTTTTCTTCCTCAAAGGCAGATACTGCTGTCAGTTTGATGTATAGCCTTTCAAATTTTTTAACACATAATTCATTATACATATATATTCCTTAGGAATATTTTTATGTGACTTTATATAAGGGGGGTATCTTAATTTTTAATGTAAATGATAGCATAGTCTAACCATCACAAACTTGATCTTTCATCTTAACCAGTCTTAGAGATTTTACTATGTTCCAAAATATACATCTGCCACTGTTCATATACCCTCAATATTGTATAGAATTCTTGAATGCATATACATAATTTTTTTGTTGTCTGTTGATGGGCAACTTTTCAAACAGTGCTTTTTAGCACGATCTCTGCACATAATATACCTCAGCATATAGGCAGAACTGTATCAAGCTATGATTATTTAAAAATGTGTTTTGCTTCTGAGTAAATAAAAATGACCCATGAACAAAGGATCCTAGACTGATATACTGGGAAAAAGGAGAAAACTGATTATAGAATTTTAAAATTTACCAAATAGACTTCCCTTAAAGTATTTTTACTGTCTGGGGCATCAATATACGCAAATAAAGTATTTCACAAAAAAACGAACAAAACAAGACAAAAAAAAATGGCAAGTTGGTAATGAAGTCAAAATAGAACCTTTTGTTTTCAACTTCTCTTCTCCTCTGTAATACTGGAAATTGAACATAGGGCCTTCCAACTGAGCTTTATCTTTGACCTTTTTATTTTTTATTCTGAAACAAGGTCTTGCTAAATCATTAAGTTGCCTACACTGAGCACAAACCTACGCTTCTCTTGCCTCAGCTTCCCAGACTGCTAGGATTATAGACATAAACCACCACGCTTGGCTTCAACATACTTTTGGCCATACTATGTTTTTAATTTCTTCCATAAGAAATCTCATCCCAATTATATTTTCCTATTTTTTGTTTTTTTTCCCCTTTCCCTAGCTATTATTCCTATTTAGAATTAAGTTTTTCTTAAGTCAAAGAAACAAAAAGCAGCAAGGTATAAAAACAAAATATCTCAGGAAACAAGGAATAAATTCATTCTACCTGGGATAGGTTTCTTTCCTGACCAGTAGGTATGTAAAACTTTGGCACTTTACTGAAGTGTAGGAAGTGCCTTGTTTGTTGTGGTAACTATATTGCAGGATGAATTATAAATAGAACACATAATGTTTCCTGAATTTTAAAAATGGGTATATGAATCCGCTAAAGACTTGTGCAATTTCCTACCTCTAACTCTAATACTCTGGTAATCGCAAGATTATTACAGATTATCTCAAGATGATTAAAGATCATCTCAATTAAGGATACTCCACAAATACCATGATTATTAAATTCTAATCTTTCACCATCCTTCATATTTTCAATAAATATTTGTTGTATAGTTTAGAGCCTGCTGCATAGTTTAGGAACCTATCTACTGCAGCAACAGTTGTGAACAGGGCAAATTCCTGTGCACCTTATACTCTAGTCAATGTATCAGTCAAAATCCAAAGAAGTAGTATGATTGCAGATCTTCAGTTGTACAGAGAAAAACTACGCAACATAAGAGGAGTCATCATGTCTTCATTGGATTAATTAATTCAATATCTGCAACTTGAGGCAGTGGTCATACCTTAACAGACTTTGTATTCTTCTAGCACCCATAATACATGGTATACCATACTACATGGCACCCTGACGGTAAAACATATAAATTCAACTGCATGTAGAAAAATGCAAGATTACCTTTTCCAATATGTCGTCGAGTGTTTTCAATCGTTGAATTACGATTAACATTTGACAACAATCCCAAGCAGAATCTGCTTTTGTTATTTGAAGGGTCTGTGAATCCATCCACTAACACACTAGTAGATGATGCATGAAAAGCTTCCCCAACACGGTTGTTTAATTCATAGTAGACAATTGAACACCAATGTTTGGGCTCTTCATAAGCAACAGGCTGAACATCTATGAACAAACAAGACAGAAAAGTTTAAGAAATGATTATCAGAAATTCCAGATTCACTGTGTTTAACCTTTAACCCAAGAAAAGCTTTATATAGAGAAAATACTATTTCAATTAAGTCTCACTTTGAGTCTATATGCAAAAAACATTAAAAATAAGCTTAACTATGGCAATTTAAATAATTATATAACTATAAATAGAGGCAACAACCTCAGCCTACTCGTGCCACTGTAACAAAACATCATAGACTGACTGGCCTGCATAATTTTTCTCCCACAGTTCCAGGCTGGGAAGTTCAAGACCAAGGTGTTGGCAGATATGATTTGTACCTGGGCTCCCATCCTAGTTTGTCAATAGACAGCTGCCCTCTCACTGTGTGCTCATAAGGTCTTTCCTCAATGTGTGATCACAAAGATTCAAAGATCTGCCTGTTTCCCTTCTGATAAAGGCAGCTAATTCCATCAGGTGGTTCGCACTGTTAGGAACACATCTCAGCCACCTCTCAAAAGTCCCATCTCCAAATACCAGCACACCGGGGGTGACTATTTGGTCTATTAGCATTCAACTCTGCCCTCCCAATATTCATGCCCTTTTCACATGAAAAAAAAAAAAAAAAAAGTATTCCATCCCCAAAGCCCTCAGTCATAACTCACTCTAGCAAAAACTATAAAGTCTAAAGTCCAAGCTTATCAAATCAGAAAAAAATGAGACTGGAGACAAAATTCCAAGTGCAATTCCTCTCCAGTGGCAACATGTGCAACCACACAAATTGTAAGCTGTAGGGACCAGCACCCTCAAGGGTCCATGCACCCTTGCTCCCATGGCTTCAACCAGCCTGCAGCAACTAGAGCAGTGATCCTGAAATCTCTAATCGCTTCAGTTTTGAGGAACAGCACAAGCTTACAGCTAAGTAGCTAACTGCTCTAACAGAATCTAAGAAGTCTGACAGCATCCTTAACTCTGACCTCTGTCCCATTCAAGTCACACTGGCTGCATCCTGCTGAGGTGGCTAAGTAGGTCCATGGTTCACATCTATACTAATCTCCCTATCAACTATATTTTCTCATTTCTGAAATATGGATGAGATTTTTCTAAATCTTTAAATTCTGGTTCCTTTTTGCTTAACAATTTCTTTAATTCACTACTCTCATCTCACACGTATTTTATTTACTATGACAAGCCAGAAGGAAACAGGCCACTTTTTCAAAACTTTGCTCAGGAATCTCAACTAAGAATCCAATTTCATAGCTTAAAATTCTACTTTCCACAAAACACTAGAACACGAACACCAGCCAAGTTCTTTGTCACTGTTTTAATAAAGACAGCCTTTTCTTCCTTTTCCAATGACAGTGTTCCTTATTTACATCTGTAGCCTCAAAAGAATCAACCTTAACATTTGCGTTTCTAATACTGTGTACAAAAATTATTTATATATTCTCTTAAGAAAATAGAAGCGTTCTTTATGGCTCTCCTTTCACTTCTAAGTCCTCAGCAGAATCACCTTTAATAGTCCCTTCATGCCAGTACAAGCTTTTTCTACCACACACCTCAAGATTCTCCCAGCCTCTACTCAGTGTCTAGCTCCAAAGCTATTTCCATATTTTTGGGCACAGTACTTGTTACAGCAGCACTCCACTTCTAGGTACCAAATTCTGTCTTGGTTGGTTCAGGCTGCTATAACAAAATACCACAGGCAGAGTGGCTTAAACAACAGAAATTTATTTCTCACACTTCTGGAGGCTGGTAAGTCCAAGATCTAGGTGCCAGTATGGGGTCAGAACTTAGTGAGGGCCTCTTTCCTGGCTTGTAGATCGCCACCTTCTCACTTGGTACTCACATGGCCTTTCCTCAGTTTGTGTTCAGGGATAGAGAAAAAGACACATAGAAAGGGACCGCTTCCTCTTCTAATAAGGACACTAATCGCACCATGAGGACCCTATCCTCACAACCTCATCTAAACTTCATTACCTCCCCAAAACTTATTTCCAAATAACACCAATTGTGGGGCTTAGGGCCTCATAATATGAATTTGGGGAAGACATAATTCAGAACATAATAGCAATATCATCTTTGCAAACTAGGACTAGAAGTATTTCACAGGAGTCATCCTTGAGTTCCTACTGATCTTAACAGTAAGCCCTCTAGTTTCACCATTATATATGATGTTATTTGTGGGTTTTCTCTAAGTGTTTTTTGTTTTTGTTTTTATTTGGTTTTTTGAGATAGGGTCTCCCTATGTAGCCTAGGCTGGCCTTGAACTCCTGGTGATACCTCCTGCCTCAGCCTCCCAAGGGCTGAGATTACAGGCATGTGCCACCACACCCAGTTTCTGTAAATGTTTTTTATAACCACAAATACACAAAAAACACAAACACTGTTTTAAGAAATTTGTAAAATGGCAAATGTTACTTCTAAATCTGTTACAATGTAAGGAGCTGAAGGTCTCAAAGTAGCTTTAAAACCACAATACCACCAGAAAAATATGCCAAAAGACAACAAGAAATCCACAATGAGATACCATTTCATATCCATGAGGATGATCATTATTCTACCCCTACTCCACCCTACTCCCAAAAAACCCCAAAAAATAAGTGCTGGCCTGGATATACAGAAACTGTAATCCTTATGAATTATGGTGAGAATGTAAAATGATGCAACCACATCATTTCAAAGACTTTCAAAAACACAAATAATTAGCACATGACATCAATTCTATTCCAAAGTACATAATGCTCAAATGCATTGCAAGCAGAAACTCAGAGATGGTATCGGTGTTAGTCACAATATCCAAAACAGAATAAAATGAGATTTCCCTCAATACACAAATGGATAAACAAAATGTGCATACATGTACAACAGAGTATTATTCAGCCTTAAAAAATGGAATTGTAATACATACTGTAACGTGGATAATCCTTGAAAATACCATGCTAAGTGAAATACACCAGACACCAAAAGAAAGACAAGTATTATATGATCGCATTTGGATGAGATACCTAGAATAGGCAAATTTATAGAGACAGAATGTCAAATAGTATTTTTCAGGGGCTAGAGGAAAAGGAACGGGGAATTTTACGATAGGTTGAGTTCTGCATAGGATGATAAAAAAGTTCTGGGAATGGATAGTAACGACGAATGCATAATACATGGGCATACTTAAAAAATGCTCCTGAATTGTAAACCTTAGTAACAGAGCTCCAAAATATATAAAGCAAATAAACAGAACTGAAGTAGAAATACACAGCTCAACAATAACAGTTAAGGACCTCAATCTCCCACTGTCAGTAATTGATAGAATAATAAGAAAGAAAACAAGGTGGGATACAGACAGCTTGAACTACACTATCAACAAGTTAGACTTAATCAAAATGCCCAGAACCAATGAAAACCCCATAACAGCAGAACGGAAAAGAGGGTGTCAAGATGCATCCATGTTCATAGTAGCATTATTCACAACAGTCAACAAGTCTGGTATTTCAAAAAGCTAAACACATAATTAGCATATGACACCAATTCTACTCCCATCATACTCAAATAAACGGCAAGTTGAGACTCAAGCAAATGAGAAAACAAATGGTGCTGGAACTAACTGGATTGCTTAATGCAAAAAATTTAATATATTTATCATATAACACACACAAACTCAACTTCAAATGAATCTAAGACCTAATGTAAAGACTAAAACTACAGAATATGTAGAAGAAAACATCAACAAATATTGGCATGGCCATGGGACAAACAAAACTTTCTTAGATGCAATACTAAAATCACGATACAGAAAATAAAAATTGATAAACTAAACTTCAAAATTTAAAGCTACTGTGTTTCAGAAGACATTATTCTAAAAAATGAAAAGAAATACAGCCTGGGAGTAAATATTTACAAATATTTTATAGTATATAAATTATATTTCACAAAAGGTTTTTAAAAAGTGGCCAAGATTCAAGATATACATCAATGGTAGCATAGAGTGCTTGCCTAACATGTAGGAGGCCTTGGGTTTAATCCTCAGTAATGCAAAAAAAACTCAAATAAGTAAAAGTGGCCAACAGGTTCAAAAACAATAAAAATAACAATAACAAAATAAATACGAGTACTATACTTCTCTTACCTCTGCTGGATATACTGGGCATAATCTGAGGAATCATATTATTGCTCGTATCCATAGGCTGGGAATTATCTTGACCCATCTGATCATCAGGTGGCATATAGGCAGGAGGAGGCGTATCAGCTAAAAGAAATAAAATGAGACAAGTCCCAAAAAAACAGTTGAAATCTTCACCCTCTAAAAGCATTTTTAAAAAACAAGATTACCAGCAGAGTTCATTACTCAACTTACACACACAATAATGTAGGACCCTATCCTAAGACAGAAAAGTCAGCTCATCTAATAGCTAACAGCTACTGAAAAACCTACTACAACCCCACATTTAAATAGTCTAGATCTCTGATAATCCATGATACTAGGGATACTACTAAAATAAATTGAAAAAGAATTCAAAATCCATGATTTCACCTTCATTTTCGTAGAAGCCCATGCTCAGAGAAACTGCTATTGTGCAAAACCATCTGAAGGTCGCAGATTATCCTAGTTTGTATATATATACTATTGCATTTTAAAATTAATCATCACATACTGTACAATGTCATTTAAAACTATAAAATAAAACTATGTCCCTTTAAAATTTGTCATCAATACTAATAGCAAATGTCTTAATACTTTTGCAATGTCCAAAAATGGCTGTTGTCTTATTAAATGGCTAAGTAATGGGCTTAGGAAACTGAATGTTAACCACAGAATATTTCAAGTACCAATATTCATGGTTGACATTTTTTTTTTTTGCAAAAGCAACAGCTAGAAACTTTTGTCTCAGTAACTGTAAAACAATATAAATTGTCTTTCACATCAAGATTTGTACAAAATGTATTTTAGGACACAACTACAACTGGCACTGAATCTAAGACAAAATATGAAAATTTGCTTTTGAGCAAGTTCCTAATAGGTTAAACAGTATTTAATCCTCCTACTTCCAGATTTTAAACAAATAGTACTTGACACAATGAAATCCAACTTGACATAATGAAATCTAACTTTATCTCAAAATCAAAGAATTACATAAAAAATGTACAGTAAAAAGAAAGTAGATCTTGTTGTATAACAGTTCACCCAGAGGGCCAATAGTAAGCATGATTACTGATTCTCAGGAATTATTTCTCCTTTCTTTGTCCCTTCCGGTATCACCGCAGTCTTACCTGGGAGTTGAAAAGGACTTCCTGGCCCAGAGCTCGCAGGGGAGCTGGGGTAGGTACTGCTGGCCGGGGAGGGCGGGTAGGGGCTGTTCGGAGATAAGGGGAAAGGAGTGCTGTTGGGCTGGTGGAAAGAATCTGGAAACGTGGCATTTTGTGGCATGTGTGGTTCATTGTGGCTCAGGTTCCTAAACTGAACCAGAAGGCTGTGTTGTGGGTTGAACTCGTTATGACGAGGCACTAACACTGGAGGTAAGACTGAAAGACAAAAATCAAAAGTAATCAGTCAGGAATGACTAAAAAAAAGTACCATTCAACCATTAAGTGGTCATAGAAATGATTCATGCAAGACTGCAAACCTGTTAAAACAGTTTACTTTTAGGAAGAGCTGTTTTATAGAAACCTGAATACATATTCACATAAAAACTAAACCCAAAACTCGTCAACACTTACCTGATATAAAGGACTCTGGAAGACAGAAAACCCAGGAAAGATACCACTTCAGTGTTATGGCACACGTGACACATTTAACAACAACCACAGCACAATGAGAGTTTCAGAAGTGAGCACTCTTGGCTAGCAGGGAATCAAACAAATATTGTGGAAAAGACAAACCCAGTTGGACCTTAACCAACCAGGGGAATTTCACATGAGAGTGTTAGGGTGAGTACAGGAGGAAGAAGGGACAGAAAAGAGTGTTGCCTAGGAAGTGATCTAGATGGTAAGACTACAGAGTTGAGGTGAGGGATGTAGATGCCCTACAAACTTTTACATTTCCAGTTCTGAACACTTTCATCATTCACTTTGAGATCTCTCAAACTTTAAATTCTTCAGTAAGGTTTTCCCTACTGAAAACAGTAATATTCCCCAGGAGAAAGTCCTCCATTCAAAATCAGTCCTCTACATATATTCATAATAAAAATACAGAAATGCCTCCGTTCACAAACACTTCTGTTTGCAAGCAATTTGGTTCACAAACAAAAGCACTCGGCAAAATTTTGCTTCTGTTTGCAAATTCTGCAGCGGTTAACAAACAAGAACATGGCTATCTTCCCACACAGACACAAATGCAGCCATCTTCCCCAAAATGGTAAAACAAATTAAGTTCATAATTCAAGGTACCACTGTATATATAATAATGTCTAAACATTTGAGAAAATTTTTTTAAAAAGTTAAACATTATCCTTACTCCAATGTTTACTTTATCTAAAAACCCAAGATCAACCACATGTAAACACCTGATTACTTTTCCCTGCAGGAAACTTGCTACTGATTCTTCAAACTCTTAATACACAATTCATCTCTTTTACAACTTTCCTGTATTTGTCAGTGTAATTTTGACTCTGGGAGGCTGAGGCAGAAGAATCACAAGTTCAAGCCTGGCCTGGGCAACTTAGTAATACCATGTTTCAAAGTAAAAATTGAAAAAGGGAGCTGAGGATGTAGCTGAGTAAAAGCCCTGGGTTCAGGACTGCAAATGAATGAATGAAGTTTTTCAAAACTTTCACTGTGATATCATTAACCATCAATAAAATCAATTTATTTTTCAGCTAACTAAATCATAACCTGGTCCCCCAAAGTAGGGACATTGTACACAACAAACCAAGGGCTCTTCAGTCAGTATTTGTACTGTTTCATCTTTTATAGAATTACTGTTGTACAAATGTAGTCAACAATGACTACAACTGTTTTTGTTACACCATATTAACCACTGCTGTTTCCCTGAATGACAGGGCAGCTGCCACTGGAGAGCAGCGTATTAGACCCAAGAACTTCTGTTTATCTAGCTAATAATCTGTAAGACTTAATGAAATAACTAGAATTCAGTTTGGTAAAGATTTCTTTCTTTTTTTAAAAACATAGTTAAAATCACTGGCTTCCCTCCTGCTTGTATACTATCTGTGCACATGTTTTTAAGAATTATTTTATTTTCATACAAAACTGTATGCAAAGTTTAAAAGATTACAACATAAACATATAAAAAGATGAGATTATAACAAAAATAACAATTTCTAGACCCCCTCTCAGATCATTTTCACAAACAAATTTAAGTTCTTAGCCATTTTTTCTAACATTTACTTTGTGTATGTATTGCTAAACAATATGCTTTTTTGCTGTTATTACTTGTGAAGACATTATTTATAGATTTGGTCTTACGGCAAGTAGGGCAGCTTTCTTATATTATCCTTCTTTTCCTCACAGTAAATTTACATTAAAAACCGGGTTAAATCAGTATCTAGTATTATATATATAAATATACATATTTCATTAATATATATACAATTTCATTAATAAACCAAGTGTGTTGTGATATTTTCCCCTGAATAATGCTTTTATTAAAGTTAATATTCCTTCACTTGCTTAGTTTTATGTAGTACTACTATTTCCAGTATTCCAATAGATCTGTCAAATGACAATCGAGACTATCTTTCAGATGCTATAAATTATCAAATAATTTATTGATTTCATATTTCCCCCTTGGATCTTCCATCCTTTTGCTCTAGTCCAGACTAGCTGCTACTTAAATCTCCTACAAACCTAAAGTCCTTGGACCTCTCCCCTTCATCTCTCAATTATTATATCTCTCATTTCACATGCCTCATCCTCTATTAGCTTCCTAAGAAAAGGTAACAAAAACAGTATGTATTATCTTAAGTTTTTGCTTGTCTGCAAGCAGAATTTGTTTCACTTTCTTCTAGAATACAGAATCGCAGCAAGAAACCCAATATTCTGATTTCTAGTATTTTCTATGTGTCCTATATCTTTTCTCTGGAAGCTTTCAGAACTGATTTCTTTTTATTCACAATATACAAAAATTTCATGTGTTGGTCTGTCAATCCCAGTTCTGACTACTTGGTCAGTAGGCCCTTTCAAATTCCCATTTCTAGAAATTGTTCTAGTAGTATTTTTTTGCTTTGTTTGTTGTATTTTGAGACAGGGCCTCACTATACAGTTCAGGCTGGCCTTAATTCACTATGTAGTTCAGGCTGGCCTTGAATTCACTATGTAGTCCAGGCTGGCCTTGAACTTGAAGGGATCTTCCTGCCTTAGCCTCCCAAATGCTAGGATTACAGGCATGAGTCACCAAGCCCAATTCTTGTAGTATTACTTTGAAGATTTTTCTCTCTACCATTCCCCCTGTGCTCTATTTCCAGAATGTATTAATCTAATAGAATTAACCTGAAATTGATTCTAGGCCACATAATACTCAATTTAAACACTTTTTCATGCACTGACTCATCCAATCCTCTTAACAACTTGTGAGGTGGGTAGTACTACTCTCACATTAACTCACAAAGAAGGCAAGAAACTTGGTGGTATACAATAAAACCAGGATTTAAATTCAGCAAGTCTGGTTTTGGAACTCACAGTCTTAACCTACTTGGCAATACTGCCTATGAAACAATGGATCACCTAGACGGGTCCTCTCTGTTTTTCTTACGTTCATTACTGCTTCCCAACCATCTTCCACTTTTTTTTAAATCTTTCTGCAACACTTACTCTACTATATAGTAGTTGTGTGATCTTTTTTGTTTTTTTTCTTTTTCTTTTTTTGGCACTGGGACTTGAACTCAGGACGTTGTGCTTGCCAGGCAGACACCGTGCCACTGAGCTATATCCATGGCCCCTAGTGGTGTGATCTTAAATTACTTCCTTTTTTAAGTCTTAGTTTCCTTGTCTACAAACTTCTAAATACACTCAGAGGATTCTAATGTTTTAACTTATGAAGGAATCACCCTCACAGAGCCAGAAAAGCACCCAGTCTGTAAGTGTTCAATCACAGGATTAGGAAAGTACCTAGTCCATAAGTAGTCAATAAATGTTAATTTCTCTTAATGTGACCACCACTACAGTTACTTTATTAACACAGTAACTATTAAATTATCCTTCCTATGTTTTATTAGCTTGGTCTAAGCGGAATACAAGCTAATCCAGTTGGGCAAATCTGTCCCTTTACCTAAGATGTTTGAACTTTAGACCAAAAGCAGGCTTCTACAGTCTCTCTATACTAAGATATATGTTTTCCAGTGTCATTTAAAAGTATCAGAGCTATGCTTTTATCCTTCTATAAAATGATTATAGTTGAAAAAATGGATTAACAAAAATAAGACTTTTCTGCTGGACAATTATTAGTCACATCATGGCTACGGGAATATACAAAATTCCTAGACTTACTCCTAGCAAATAACTAGCTTGAGAGTTTTGCAGGCATTTGTCTATTAAATCTTCCCACTTTCTATTCCTCATCAATTCTTTCAGGATATAGCTTTAAGAAATCAAAAACCACCTCAAATATCATCTTGCTTCAACTAAACCTCTTACTGAGTTCCCTTAGAGTACAATTACTGCTATTCTTTTTTGCCAGTTTTCACAATATTATTTTCAATCTTTTTATCATATTGGGCTCATATTATCTCATGTGTGGCAGGCAGACTCTAAAGCAGCTCTATGATACAACCTCTGGGCATTCATGTCCTTGGTTAATCTCTTCTTCAGTGTATGATCTGTGACTTGCTTCTCACTAACAGTACATGGCAAAGTGAGAAGATGTATATGGTTACATTCCATATGAATGCCCTTCTTGTTAAAAAGACCCTCTCTCTTCCTTGAGGGCTTTGAAGATGCTGCCACGAATGTGAACTACCTATGAAGAAGGCTATGTAGTAAACAATTGAATGCGGTCTCCAGCTGGTAATCACCAAGAGTCCAGTGGCCTGCAAGGAACTGAATTCTGTCAACTTCACAGTGAGCTCTAGAAGCAGATGCTTCTCCATCTGTTAAGACTGACTCTAACCAACACAGATTGGAAGCTTGCAAAAAGTCCTACTAAGCTGTGATGGATGCCTTACCCAAAGAAACTGTGCAGTAATAAATATGTATGTCAAGCACTAGGTTTGTGGTAATTCGTTGTGCACTTACCCCCAAAGTTTGTGTGTTGGAAAATTAATCACTAATGCAACAGTATTGGGGTGGGGCCTGATAAAAGGTGATTAGGTAATGTTGTTATACAGGAGTAGATTACTCAGCATGAGAATGGGTTGTAAGTTCAGCCCCTTCTTGCTCTCTCTTGTCTTATACTCACTGACCATCTGCCATGTTATAATGCAGTCAGAGGACCCTCACCAGAGGCACTCTCTCTCTCTCCTGCACTTTCCAGAATCCAGAACTATGAGCCAAATAAACACCTAGCATTTATAATTTACCCAGTCTGAAATTCTGTTAAAGCAGCAGTGAATGAACTATCAGCTTATGGAATTAATTCATTACCAAAAAATACTTACTAAATGTTAGCTACCAAGTGCCAGGAAACTGCACTAATTCTGAGCACTGGGGATGTAGTAATAAGTGAGACAGAGAAAGGCCCTGCACCAATCAACTAAATATCTAATGCAGAATCAACTAGTGATGAGGATATTTGAGCAAAGATTAAATGGAGTGAGAATGTATGCCACGAAAAGATTCTGTGTGGAGAGTACTCTAAGTAAGATAAACTGCAAAACTTAAAATCTAGACAGGAGTATGGCAAGTTCAAGAGCCAAAGGCTGTCTAAGAATAAGTGCAATATTGAAATCATCTGTTCTAATTTTAAGAATTCTGTTTAAGAATTATAATTCTTAGTATAATAGTGCTAAGGGTTTTTAGTAGGAACTGACATGATTTGATACATGTCATTTTCAATTTTCCTCTAGCTGCTGTGTCGAAAACAATGGGTTGGGAGAAAAAACAGCAGAGAGACCAATGAGGAGACTACCTGGGGTGAGAAACAGTTAACAGTCTGTGCTATTGGTAAGAGATGATGGCATCAAGACATATTTTGAAGGTATAGCAAGCAGCATTTGTTCAGAGCTCAAACATAACACTTAAAAAGAATAAAAGATGACCATTATGTTTAGGGCAATAGCTATGAATGAATACTGGTACCATATACTCAATAGAGAAAACAGGAGAAAAACCATTTTTGTGGGAGCAGTAAGAACTCTGCTTAGCCATCTTATACTTGATGTTTATTAGACATTCAAATGAGTTGTTAAGTAACTGACTTTATACAAAGGAGAAGTTGATTCTAGAATTAAAATTATGAGCAATCAGGTTATAGACAATTTTAAAACACATGAGACACTTAAACAATACAGATACAAAAAAAGCCCAAGGACTGAGTACTGTGAAACAGGAGGATAAAAAAGCAAACACCCTGATTAAGAATAACCAGTGAAGTTGGACAATCAAAAGAGCAGTGTCTAAAAGTCAAAAAGAAAACTTTTAGTGGGAGGGCAGAAGATGAACTGTATCAAATGCTACTGAGATAGCAAGTAGGGTAAGATGGAGAAAGGACCCCTTGATTTCTAAAACAGTCACTAGTGATCTTGATATATGAAATGGCAGGGAAGAAAGACTACCTGGAAAACCAAGAAAGAATGGAAATAGGTGGAAATAATAAAAGAATCCTATAAAATGACCAAAAGAAATAGTGTGGAAAATAGGGATAGGGACTATGTGAATGAAATCAAGACAGGAATTCTTTTTTAACTTCTATTTTTGGATAGGCAGTATCATGACATGCTTGTATGCTGTCAGAAATAGTCTGGTAAAATGAGAAAATACAATATAAGGGACAGGGATGCTACTCTAGGGACACAGGTCTTGAACAGACAAAAAGGAGTAGGATCCACTGTACACACTGGGCTTAATTCTTAGATAAAAGAGACAGGTCATTCATAGGAAAGGTAGACCACATATATGGGGCCCTACTGTGTGAATTAGGATAAGGCACTTAGGAGTAATACCACCTGCATTTTTAAAAAAAGCTAAATTCAAATCCAGTATTCCTTCCAAAATTAAAGCTTTAAAATGAAACATAAGGTTAATATACCTTGTAATTAATGAATCTAATTATATGTGAATCAGGCAACACAATTTTTAAAAAAATTCTTCTCAAGGGAGTAAAACCTACCTGGACTCTCCACTCTCTTATAGTGGTATGGATTGATACAAACTTCTTTTTGTTTAGATCCAAAAGGAAATTCACAAATATCCAATGGCTTTAGCTCATGATGACTCTGCAAATCAGGCCACCGCCAAACACGACAATATATAACATGTGGTAAGCCTTTTCTGTGAGATACCTGGAGGCGTCCATCTAAAGACCTGGGAATAGTGACACATTTGCTTGGCTGTCCTGGACTGCTCAAGGCTTTCTCCAGTTCCTCCATGGCACCCTTTTTCTTTTTTAGCTTTTTTACCAAAGCATCCACTGCCTTTTCTGCCCATTTTTCCTCCTCATCACCTTGTTTCCAGCCCAACAATCGTTTCACTGCTGGACTAGTAAAAGAAAACAAGCTGGCCATTGACGTCATTTGATACGAATCTTCAGAGACCTTCCTGTAATCAAAGTCAGTAGCTAGTGGAAGAACAGATCACAGGTGAAAAGTCACATACAGGTCCTAAGCAGGAGTTCCAAGTAAAGAAGGAGGAATGACATTTATCTTCACAAGTGCCATATGCTTCTTTCATTGGTTCAAGTCCTAAAAGAGAAAGGGGGAAAGGATCCTAAATTAAACCAATTCAATTTAATGCATTTTAGTCAATCTACTTAAAAAGTATGTTGTCTGTAAACAAGAGAAGAAAAGCATTATAAAGCAAAACAAAACAAAAAATAAATCTAGAAAAAGAAATTTCTCTAAAAATTCTGTGACTGCTCACTTCCTTCTTCATAATATAAAACTCTACTGTCAAAGTCAAGCAACATCCAAAAGCAAAAATATGCTGCTCTACCTTTCTATTATCCACAAAAACAGGCTCTAGACTTTCTTTCCTTTAATGAGGGCTCTAAGACCTATAATAGTCTATCTAAATACTGCTTCTGAAGCAGTATTTTCCTTCACTGAAATAAATGTTACAAACTAGGTCAATTCTGAACTTTTATTCTAATCAAAAGCCCTAAAAGAAATCTAGCTCTTAAGTCACTGTTCTTTTTAAAATGTTTAGTATGCACAGCAAAAAAAAAACAAAAAACAAAAAAACAAAACACTAACAGAGTACAAAGACAGCCTGGGAAAAATGGGAAACAGAATAGGAAAAATTTTTTGCCAGCTACTCCTCATGTAAAGACTAATATCTAGAATATATAAAGAACTCAAAAAAATTAGACTCCCATATTTAAAGACTCAATTAAAAATAGGCATCTGGGCCAGGCCTGGCAGCGGCATATGCCTATAATCCCAGTACTTGGGAGGCTAAGGCAGAAGGATGCTGAGAGTTCAAAACCAGCCTGAACTACACAGTGAGACCCTGTTTCAAAAAACAAAAACAAAAAGGCATCTGAAATGAATAGATACTTCTCAGCTGAAGACATACAAATAGCCAACACATACATGAAAAAGTGTTCAACATCACTGGCCATTCAGGAAATGCAAAAAAACAACACTGAGATTTATCTCACTTCAGAAAGAATGGCTGTCATCAAGAAACCAGTAATACATGCTGGCAAGGCTACAGGGATAAAGGAACCCTTCTTCATTGTTGGTGAGATTGCAAACTAACAGAACCACTGTGGAAATCAGTATGGAGGTTCTTCAAAAAAGTAGAAATTCCTTTTAACCCACCTATTCCCCTGATAGTTATCTTCCCAACAGTTAAACACATCATACTACAGTTGATGAATGCATACCCATGTTTACAGAAGCACAATTCATAATGTTTAATTCTTGGAAATCTAGGAAATAGCCTGTATGTCTATCAACAGATGAATGGATTAAAAATGTGGTATTTATACACAATGGAGTATTACTCTGCTGTAAAAAAGGATAAACGAGACATATGTAGGAAACTGGATGCACCTTGAGACCATATTAGTAGTGAAGTAACTCAGATACACAAGCTTAAATATCATATGGTTTTCCTTATATACAAAATTCAATAGATAGATTAGATAGATATAGATGATATATAGAGACAGATATAGATATAACAAAATAAGAGACAGATAATGGGAAAGAAGAGGAAAAAAAAGTACTGTAATCCAGTGCAATGTATCTAAAAATGTATCTTAACTTAGCCTTACATATTTTATATGTTCTCTGGCCTATTAGTCTGGTTTTCAGTCTGTATATATGATAATTACCTTCATAATGTCTTATAAGATAAATATATAAATGAATCTGATGCTGGAAAAGTAAAAAGGGACAGAGGGAAGGGCAAAAAGCAGGAAACTAAACTGTGTTATGTACATGTACCAGTTCCCTACAGTGAATGTACACGTCATGGGCTGCACACATGTACTAACAGGGATTAGGGATGTAGCTCAGGGGCACAGTGCCTGCCTGGCAAGTGTGAGGTCCTGGGTTTGATCCCTACTACCAAAAAAAAAAGTACTAATGAAAGTAGAAAGAAGGAAGGAAGGAAGGAAGGAAGGAAGGAAGGAAGGAAGGAAGGAAGGAAGGGGGTCAAAGGAAAAAAATAGTTATTTTACAAGTGTTGGGCAAAAGTCATGATATTATTCAAGTCACATTATTAAATACAAACTATTAAAAGTTGTCATAAGATGTAACAAACCCTCAAATAAATCACACCACATATAACTGCCAGAAAAGTGGCAAGCAACTGCTTTAAAACTAGGAATACAAGTAAATTTGAAGAGAATAAATACAAAATTTAACCCAAAAGTCAGCTTACATTTTATAATTTCTACTGGCTTCTGTGATATTTGAAACAGTATTAGTTAATGAAGACACTCCATCATTCAGAAGTTGTTGGCAATAACACAAGGAAGTAACATGCATTGGGTACTTTACTGTTAAGAATAAAATCTCCTGGGCTGGGGATAGCTCCGCGGCACAGCGCCTGCCCAGCAAGTGCAAGGTCCTGAGTTTAATTCCTGGTACCCCCCCCCCGCCAAAAAAAAAGTAAGATCGCCTATAGATCACTATAGAGTCAGCCAACTACAGACAATGAGCACATAGTGAAATAACAGGAATATTGAGAAAAAGAATGTCAAGTACAAAGGATACTTCCTTTCTTGTACTATTTTACCAAATACTGCTGTAGTTCTGCCTTTGACAAATTCAAGTGTCAAGACTATTCTGCATTGGGGTGCATCTTCCCAGAAAAGAATAAACGTGCTCAGTTAAAACCCAGGTAAAACAAAGTAAAACTGAGTTCAACTCAACAATTATTGGGTAGTTGTTATGTACTCTCTGCTGTGTATGGCCATACTGGGGCTTTTTAAAAAGTCACACCAAATTGGTTGCTTCTCAAGAGCCAACAAATTGATTTATTCACCATGTACTTCCTGAGAATCTACTAAGAGCCAGGGACTACCAGCAAGCGGCACAGGCTGTCCAGTCTGCTGTCCTGGAATCAGAGGGAAGGTGCAGGAGAGCGAAGGTGTCCTCAGGTATTACACACCCTGTCCCTCCTCTTGCCCAGCCTAGGTCAGATGACTTCTGCCAAGCAAGCCAAACTGGCTGGGTTAACCAGAAATGTAAGAAAACATGTGTAAAATGCTACATGCTTTTAAAGGAACCCTAAGAAATTCTGTCCTCAGTTATAACTACATCAAGGATGTAAGATAAAATACATCAGAGACAGAAAGTAAAGGCATGGTTTGAGTGTTTCAGATGAGCAGAGAAATTCCAAAAGCGAAGGAATACTAACACAAAATATGTAGGCAGACATAAACTAAGCATTTCCTACACCAAAAAGAGGTAAGGCTCACTGCTTATGATTTCACTCAGAAATATAGGAATGCGGGCTAGGTAAGACAGTGCATGTATGAGAGAAGCCGTACAAGTACTGGTTAGCTGTTCTGTGGAAGGAGGAGGGGGAAAAGGAGCTTAAAGACCTAAGTTCATTCTAAGGAATGAATGAATTTAGAGATACTTCATTCTAACTGTATTAGTGAATACAGAAACACTACAACTAGCTACGATAACAGCAGTTTAAATGTGATACAGGATAAGAATGCTGTGCAGCCATTACAAAGAATAAAATGGACACTAACTTTGGTCAAGGTACTTCACCTGTGTTTTCCCATCTATAAAATGTGAATAATTTATTACATATAAATAATTTAGAACTGCAGGGTGCACGGAAAACACTTTATAAATGTTAACTACTCATCTATTATTATCATCATCAGTTAAGTACTACAGTGTGTACTAACATGAAAAATGTAAAGTTATTTGTGTATGTGAACTGATAGATACCAAGGACTGGAAGACTACACATGGGACTAAGTTATTCACTGCACTTAACCTCGAGAGAGACAGAAGAAAGGGATTCCGTATGATTTGTTCTATATACTTCTGAACTTTTTTCTTTAACGGTAACAGCTTCATTGAGCTAAAACTTTCATACCACACAATGTATAAACTTAAAGTGTAAGATTCAGTAATTTTAGCACATTGATAAAGTTGAACAATCATGACCACAATCAAACTTAGATCATTTTTATTATCCCAAAACAAAGCAATCTACCCGCGACCTATCATCTCTCAAGCCCTCACCCTTAAATCTAAGCAACCAGTGAGCTTCTCTCCATCTTCATAGATTTTCCTATCCTGGAAATTTTTTAAAATTCAAAATAAACCATGCTTGCAGCAACAATAAAGACCGTAACATAGCCAAAGGAAGGAAATCCTACAAAGCGATATCTCACACCATATTGGAATGAAACTAGAAACCTTTAAGCATTACTTGCAGAATGCTAAAATAAAAATAGTAATCTAAAATCAAATTATGATAAACAGAATGCTGGCAGAAAAACCAGGCAAAACTAATGGTTACCCTTTGTAGGGAAGGGTGGGGGTAATAACAGTATTAAGGAAATTAAGGCAATTTTACGTCCTACTAAAGTTCTACTTAATGCCCTGGGTAGCTGTATGGTGGAAATCAGTTTGTGAAAAATCAAGTGGTTGGGTACTAATAATGTGTATACTTTTCTGTATAATTTTAATATACTTTGTTGAAATATAGAAAGTAGAGCCAGGCACAGTGGCCCATACCTGTAATACAGTACGGATGGCTGAAGAAAGTTCGAGGCCAGCAAGGTAAACACGCTGGTCTCAAAATAAAATTTAAAAAGGACCAGAGGTAAAACTCAGGGGTAGAGCACATGCCAAGCATGCACAAGGCCCTGAATTCAACCCCCTACACTAGACAGGGAGAGAGGGAGAAAGACAGAAGTGGGGAGAGAGGGAGAGGAGAAGGAAGTGAGGCGGGAGGAAGAAAGGGGTAGAGGGACAGAGAGAACGGGAGGAGAGAGACCTTCTCACAAGTATCCCTTTATATGCCTCTAATGTCCTTCCAGAGAAACTTTACACAAAAATAAGCAAACACCAAAACAAAACTTCTCCTGCAGATAATTGTATACTGAAAAAGAAAAAGAACAAGGTGCAAGAAAAAGTTACCAATATATCTTCAAATGCTTCCATATCAATTAGTAAGAATTTCAACATTTTTTTTCTACCATACAAAATTCTAGTGTAAAACTATACCGTAAGTAGGTCAAATCATACCCATTTCT